CCGCGAAACGGCGACGAGATAGCGACAGCAAGCATCCCCAGGCCGCCCACGCCACCAGGAGATGATGACACCTTGCGTCCTCACACCTCCCAATAAAACGCGAGGCCAAGGCGACGGGCGACATGAACTAATTGTCGGATCCTTTCCCCCACCCCCTTTCCCCCATTTTGTCCCTAATTATGACTAGAATCTGACCCCCTTTGACCCCTCAACACCCCTTCCCCCTCCATCCCGCCTAATTACTACTGATTAGTTGCTTACACGTTTGTTAACTCTTCCCTTCCTCATATTTGCCTTATGATGAATTACTGAACACCTATTGGATACGGGCCATTCTGTAGACCCCAAAACATCCTTCCGAGTACTTGTTCGGGCACGAACAACTCTTACATTGTGCTACCTGGAGGCAGACTCTATAAGACGGTCAAAACCCGACCTATGTTAATCAAAGCGTTCCTTCGCCTAACTTGACTTACTGAATGCTAACATGGGTATCATCGCTGAACGGAAATATACTACACACAAAATGGCGGGTTATATCGGGAAAAAAATTGGTTGACCACCGCAAATGACGTTGTCCATCTTACGATGGGCATGTAGCGTTAAATTTCGTGTGGACTAGTTTTATTAATAGCAGACGGGCTCAACGTCCGTCGCACTTTCTTCCCCCTTTCCACCTAGTCTATGTGGCAAGACAGGGCCAAATTGGTTGAGCTGCAATGGCCAACAAAATAAGCAGATCGTCTTCTGCTGCCAATCACCACCTTCTTCACGCCGGTTGGATTTCCTTTTCGCAAAATAAACAAAAGAAGGATATGGCACAAATTTCATCGCAGCGGGACTGCCCTGGAGGCCACATTCAGAGTGAGTTATTATGGCCTGACTCCGCTTCACAATCGGACCAACTTAAGTTATTCGTTTGCAGTCTTCCAAGTTACGCACTTTTAGCGCATCGTGATTGATTCAAGCGCGGCGGATTATTTTGAGGAGGAATGCGCCCAGTTGCCGTGTGAGAGAATTCCATAATACAGACATCTCTCTCTCTCTCTTTCCCATACACTAGCCTGATGTCCGAGTCAACTAGCGGATGCTGGGATTTGGCGCATGGTTGGGGTGTCATGAGCCTGCGACTATCTCCTTCCAACTATCCTCCATATGCGGTATTAGTTGTGGGAAGCGCGAATACGGCGCAGCAATCCCGTTGGCGCCTAAGCTTTCTTAAAATGGCCTGTGTTTCAGAATAGCGTTTTTTCATCGCCGCCGCTGTAGTGTCATGTGAGACCATAGCAGAACATTTTCAGACTGCTGTGCCACACCGTCCAAAATAAAAAAAAGACATAGTGTTTTTGACGAATGAGACAAATAGGTATGGTAGTGTCGGTTGCGATCCAGTCATTTCATGTTGATTACACGTTTGGTTCTGGCCTAATAGACCTTTGCGGGGAGATATGTTAATCCACTGCTTTCGTTAGCGTCAAGCTTATGCATGTTCTTTGTCAAGATTTTCAAACGGACAGATCAACTCTAACTGATCTGAACAGAGACACATACGCGAGCCCACACAACTAAGAAGTAAACAACACAGCCTTGGAAATCATCGCTGTAGCATAAAGCAATCATACAGTTGTGGTAATTAACTAACGTCAATTAATTTCTAACTCTAGACGCTAGCATAACCTTAGTTGCTGTCGATAGCTTTCTCCGGTTTTGAAGGTGCTTTCGGTCAATATAAACCGCATTAACATCTAACAAGTTCCGTGCACATAACTGGACTTGATATATAGACAAACACTGGTGTTGGTTCGTTTTCCAAACTGACAGCTACCATAAATCTATAACCCATCCCAGAGGGATATCAAATATACTCAGATAAGGAGCCAAAATGACTGATAAATAGTATTCACCATGACGATAAGCATTTACACCTCCGCTAGGTCATCTAAATGGTTTCGATAAGAGAAACCTCTACTGCGAAGACTGCCGAACACTGGAGGGCACTGTTCGTTCTCAGTAGGGGGCCCTTTTAATCAACATAAGCTTCTTATATTGGCTACGTTGCTAAATACTGAGCAATAGTAAACAAGCAAATAAGAGTCGTACCTCCATTCGTTCAAAATGTAAGGTGTTGTATAATTAAGAAGCCAGAGGAATAAACTAGCTAACATATAAATTACAAATGTAAGTGTGTTTTAAACCGTTTTGGTAAATTTAGTTTTGTATTCGGCAAACTCCTCACTTAGTTGCTCCAGAAGTAAATGTTCCGGCTAGAGAAATAAAACAATTACCATCGTTTATAGCAAACATTGAAATCCGTTTGGAAGGGCAAATAAATGTGAGCCGTGTATATTAGAGTCATTTCCCAAATAAAGGTTTTTTCTAGAAATCAGCCCTGGTACATTAAAGAGATGTCATTTTCGTTGTATATCCGTGCGTTCAAAGAATTGCGCTAAAACGTTCAGTAATTACCTGGGCCTAAATCTAAATTACGATGTGATTCCCTATAGGATGCTCTTTTTATTTGATCCTGGCTTTGTTATTTTATTGAAAAGTCCATTATGTTTATTTCCTTTTGAACATAAATCTGAAATTTCTCCCACTGGACATTCCTATGTACAGGTAAAACCACTGCCAGACGCTGCTGGTCGGTGAGTCTCACAGCAATGTTGCCTGTTATCAATAACTTGTGGGCCGATTTTAATCTTTATAAAAGTTTAATCTGCTCGTCGTTTATTTCACCTAGCAACCCTTTAAAAAGAATTCCACCACTATATGCCAGTTATTCTGCCCGTCGCTATATAAAAGACTAATCGAGATATCTCGTGAGGAAACCTGCTCGCCAACACTCCGCTGGTAATAAATCAAGCCGAAAAAATTGATTATCGCTGCGTCTATTTTGCTCGGAAGCAGTATTGGTTATATGTTTCAAATTGAAAATTGCCTGAACTACTGTCAAGAATGTTGTTGGTAATGCTTCGAGTATATAGTTGACCAGATCCAGTCTTTTCAGTTGACCCAATTGGAAAAGAACACAAGGCTTCGGTGGGTGTCGTACCCATACATCATTGAAGGCTTTGCGAAGCCTATGCTCTACCGTTATGCTTTGATATAGAGATAGAAAAGTAGCGAATATTTATACCTCGTTTCACAATCTTTCTTGCTTGCCTGCCTGCCAGCTGCTACTACGGCCAGGTAGGTTAAAGGAGAATTAAATAGCGGCTGTTTTAAAAATATGGCTTCAGATTATCTCACAGACTTCACACGGTGGGTAGGATATTAAGTCGATTCTATAAAGCTTCGCCCAAACACTAAATATATATGTTTGTCATGAAATGGGGCAAAAGTTCGTACCCTAGGTATGTGCACATATTGAGAAGAAGTAGTTTCGATCACCAGAATTGTAGTCTTATCGGTCTGAGCTTTCGAACACTTGCGGGAGTCCATCGTCTCCCTCATCGGACTCCCGCAAGAGTTTGAAAGCTCAGACCAATAAAAATATGATTCTGGTGATCGAAACTACTTCTTCTCGATATATGTTTGTCTTTGTGCCTACTGAAATGAAAGTCCTTTGCAATCTGTTTGCCTCTTTGGTACTAAAGCCTGGTCAAATGAGCTGGTTTCCCGTTTCGAAACAAGCCGGACTTCAACTAAGACCGCTGCCTCAGGCTTTGACAAAATCCAAATATTTGCTTACATGCACGGCAGCAAAGAGACAATGAATTATATCAATTGGGACAAAAAAATTAGCAAAACAATAGCGTACTGTTCTTTATTCCAGCGACCGTTGTCCTTTGCCTCCAGCGGGGGCAGATTCCAGCGCGGTTGGACGATTCCATGCGGATTGGAGGGTTTGCAATTAGCCAGTTTGCTGTAGTCCTCCGGTTCAATGCACGTCGGTTTTGCAATGACAAGAGGATTTGCTCTGGTACTTGGCGATCGGGAAACAATCGGCTGCACAAAACGCATGCATGTTTAGTCGGCAAAAATAACCCTAGTTGCCAGGTCGGGAACAATTGCTTTTTTAAAGCAAACTGCGCCAGTAGGGACAATGCAATATTGCCGTAGTGAAGTGTTATTTCCCTTCTTCTGTCTCAGCTATCGAATGGAACTGCATACCATAAAACATCTTGTTTTGCAGTAACCCTTTGATATTTTTGTAGATAAGGAAAAAGTCGAAATGCTGAATGCTGTAGGATTTATACTAGGCTAACAAACGTATGTATTCGCGTAATTTAGTTTAATTGGAAAAGTGCACCACTGCTAATCACGTTATAAAAGTGACTTAACCTCTCACCGGGCGGGCAGCATCAGAGCTACAATAGGGCAATAAACTCTGTTCAATTATCTTTAAATTTCATAGGCTTGCTATGGCTTACAACCGGCTTTAACTAAAATTTCTTTCTAGAAGAAAGGAAACGACTTAAAATAATTCATACTTCTCAGACCACCTCAGAGCACTCCAGAGGCGTTACGGGACTTCTCCCCGATCAATTTATAACTTTTCCGGAATACAGTCTAACCAGGAGTACGTGCTTACAGAAGAAACATATTTTTTAGACTATTTTTAACCACGTAAACTGACTTTAGTATATTCATCGAAATTCCAATGAAATTCTAATAAAAAACGAGGCTCGACCGCAATTCTTCAACAGCGCATAAATAAAAATAACTTCCATCCGCCTGCAAACTATAAGCGCTTGTTTTCATGAGATTTTTGTAAAACTGCCATAAATCTACGTAAAAGGTAGGCTCAACAAACTTTGTTCACGAAGGGGCTTACATACTTTAAAGAATACTGCCGGGCTGATTCCCCTCTAATAGTGCCACTTGCAAGCACTGGCAGAAATTTGTACCAAAAGCAACTGCGCCATTTCTGTTCTCCGACTTTTTATGCTGCGCCCGAGGGCGTCCGCATTGGCCTACAACATGCGCCTACTAGACAACAGACTTTTGTATCATCCGCTTCACGCTTTTAAACGAAAATTGAACGGTTAGCGAAAGAAGGAGAGTGCGTGACAAGCAGATAGCGCCAAATTGCCTGTCAGAATGCGTGTATCCACGTAAGACAAGCAGGCGCAAGCAGGCAGTTCAAATTACCACATGTTTGCTGGCCTACCCCTACACTTAAAGAAGCGTTAATCATAGTTGATGTGGCTGAGTCAGCCCTTGGGTAGCTTAAACATTTTTAAACTTCCTACATGGCAACAGATGCGATAACGTACCTGAATAGCTTCCATATCGTTTGCCGGCCTAGAGAAGGTGTGAATAAGTTCAGTTTTAAGGAATATGGCGACTTACAGATAGGAGGACTGTCGCAGGTTAGGCGTAAATGAGGGATCAATTACCAGGGCTTGGGACATCTTTACATATAAGCCGGGAACAGATTCACCAATTAGAATGTCACCGATTGAAATCCCATTTAGGGTTAAACCTAGGAATGAAAGAAAACGTCGATATCACTAGGAGAACGTTTGAGTAAATTTGATGTAACAGTGGGGCCAGTCAGCAGAACAATGCAGACAGAGAATGGTAGTAGGACGTTCCTAATGAACATAATCGATAGGTAAGAGTGTAAGACGGCCAACGTGGCAATTGGGATAGGACGGTTTAATCATCTGAAAAGGGTGAAAATGCGTTAAAAACTATTAAAAATTTATACGTCCACGATCATCTTTCAACAAACTTCTTTTTCTTGCACCGAATTCCACCGCATTGACGCCTACCTACACACCAAGTTAACTCTTAGCCCCCCTATGTTGTGTATGTAAGCTTAATCATTTCTTTCCCGATTAGAACAAATAATCGTTGCCAAAATACATTAACGTACAATACAGAAATCCATCGAGAAGTTTTCTGAGTATTTGTTTTTTCAGCAACACGTTCCTACACGCAATAATACATTTGAAAATATGCATGGCTCAGTTTGTTGCCAAAATACAAAACATACATCTCTCATGTGGCAACATAAAATATAAGAGTGTGCAATGGTATGGCGACAAGAACTACACAAGTGGGTAGTTCAAGTGGTCACAGACGTCCGGCAAGGGTGTTTTATGCTCAGTTTTGCCAACTAAGACCTTATATTTTTGCCAAAGTTAGCAGTGCGAACAACTACGCATACGCACGCAGTTGTGGCTGTGCACTTACACGTATAATAATAGTGGTTTCACAACCGTTCAGTTACGCCGAAAGCTGTTACGCATATTGTGCGGAGCCTCTTGGGTCTGCTATAATCACCTAGGTTTCCAAGGCTTTGGAAAGATAACACGCATCCTTTAGAGCAATAACTGTCTTTGTCTGACTTTTCGAATTCACGTCCTAATCCATTATTAGAGATACTATAAGAACCGGGTTTAAACAAAGTATGAACGGAGGGTTTTATATGTCGATTTAACATCAGAGTATTCTGAGCATTGATTAGAAAATGGCTTTTATAAAATGTGGATCAATTTGGGTCAAGCCGTCTCAGTGATATTATTTTAGTTCAGCTTGCAATGTACCTTAGCCGAGTCCTAGTGGTCAACGCGAAAACGAGGGAACATATCTATATGGAGCGGTGGAAAGTTTTCAGGGCAGTGTTTTCCTTTAAAAACGAGCGTATTTTTAGGAGTCATGATATATATTAGTATTGTACTGTCTACTTCGATATAATAGAATTAATAGGGGTTGTTATACCTTTAATAGGTTCCTTTTCCATCCACATAAATTCGCTTCTCAGAAATAACACGCTTTTAAGAGCGTTTCGGAGTAGCAAATGAACATGCGACCAGCCTTCTTTGCATGCAATTCTTCTTCCCCATTTTATTTAAACACTTGCTTAGAAAACATCTGCTCCGACTGCAGGCCTATTCAGAACGGTGCTCTTTCCGCATTTTGGGTCCCTGAACCAGTTAAATCATACAGATTCCATCCTGTGCGTTACAGGGTAGTCTTCAAAGAAGTAAAATAAAAATGATTAATTTTAACTTTCTTTCCCAAATACCATTATAAATCCATGTACTGTACAGCAGGCTGCTAAAGTCTGCATAGTTCCAAGTTAAATAGTAGAGATGGCTTGAACTCCACTTACGACTCACCAGTAATCAATCAAAACCTAATAATCCACGCCATTAACAAAATAAAAGAAATCCACGAATTAGCCAGCGGCTGTCAAAGAAGGATTAAAGAGGTGTTTTGGCACGATTTTGATTAGAAAATAGCAAAATAGCATTGACGTGGCCTTGGGAAGCCAACGCTCTAGCCACGTGGGCTATGGGGACCAAAGCGGTAGTCTCTTTGTGCATATATTTGTTCTTGATAGATCTTATTTAAGCCAGTGTATACGTATTGGCTTTTGTAGGGTAAAACCGCGGAAAATCTAAGCAATGGAATTGTGTTAATCAATTAACTACATTATAAGGGACAAAAACGGTGAGGAGGTTGGCACAACAACGATTAGTAGAAGAGAATACGATCACTGGAACAACAGTTTTATTTGCCTGACGTTTCGGATTTCGTCGGGAGTCCTTAATCATGGGTGATGGTAACACAGTCATGGTCATGTGTTACTATCACCTATGATTAAGGATTCCCGACGGAATCCGAAACGTCAGGCAAATAAAACTCTTGTTCTAATGATCGCATCCTTTTCTTCTGAACGGCTTCCTGGAACTCGTATATTCTCTACTATTCACAACAACGATCATCTCCCGGGGGTACAAAGGGCCAAATCAACAGCAAGCAGCAGGTAAAGTCGCTAAATCTGTGGGGACATGCGGAAAGTACTTTCATGGCAAAGGATAAGTTGATCTAATGTAATCGTGAAATAGAACGACTGCATCGGTAGTAAAATTATTCCCGGAATGCACATTGCCAGCGTTAGTGAACGTGACATTTCATTTAGCGTTGTAAATAAAAAAAGAATGCATAATTATGCGCAAGATTAAAGAAATGCGGACATATGCTTACAAAGCCGTCTTCAGAATTCCCCACAGCCAAAAATTTACTCAGACTGGTTACTGCATTTTTATAGACATGGCCCATAGGGTGATTGGCAAAAAATACAGACAAACGGCCTACCTGTCAGATGACCGACGAAGTATCTGTTCTGTGCAGAGTCTTTTGTCCAAGACGGAAACGCTTCACTATTTCTAGACTTCAGTGTTGTCGGATCGCATCCAATAAAGAGCTGATGGACTTCATTAAAGTCTGTGCCATTTGCGTCTAAAAATGGAGGCAGCATAAAATCAATGAGACAGCCATTAGACAAGCAAAAGCCATCAAATGTTGAAAAGCATTTCGCGAGTGTCTTTTGCAGTAACTTAGTTTGCAGTTCCAATTGGGAAGTAACGAATTTTTGAATCCGCATTTGGTTTTTGACGTCCCTCTAGTCGGAACGTACACTGGTGTACCTACGTCGTGTAAGGTTAACTGAACTTATTAAATATATTTGTTATGTCAGAAAAAATTATTGTGAAGGTTCGGGTGTATGCTGACTATCGGCGAGCATAAACAGAAGATAATTTATAAGGACCTGCCGAAATTTCTAGAGGCTTTTTCCTATCGTTGAGAAATGCCAAAGGTGATAATAATGACTACATAAGGAGTAAGATTTTACCATCATTTTTGAGTGTCTTGATAGAGTAAAAAAGCAAAACGAATATTCTTTCCTGTGGTCATTCAGTAGTATACTAAGTATACTGGTAAGACTGGCTGCTACCGGATAATGCACAAAATTGGTCATTCTAGTTTCTTTTGTCATGGTCGGCAATCTGTCTAGAATACTAATCGCTATGCGACTGTTGATTGGGCTGGGAAGGGAGCCTTAAAGTATAACCGGAAGAGGTGTTTCCACAACCAACGGGTGAACTTTCATCAGCGAACGTTACGTTACCGATCTGAACCAACAAGACATCGAGCCCGTTGTTCAATATTTATAGCAATGGACTTCTGATGAGCAGTAAATAGGTGTTGTAGTACCCTTTTGTATTTTTTGGCAATGCTTTTCTACATTAAAAAGTTGTGGGCGGTTTATTCGAAGAAAGTGCATCTTATGTTTTCAAGTCAAATTTTGTGAAACTGTATTTAAATAAAAAATCTGCCTAGAGATGCACCCCGGCGCTAAGGGTTTTCAACCGGCATAACTTAAACATGCTGTTTGAAAAGTATCAAGCACTTTGTTCGTTTTTTTCAAATATTTCAGCTGGAACTTTTAAACACTTTGTAATTCTTAGGAAACTTGATTATCGACATTTATGAAAGAAACGGTTACAAGCCTTACTGAAATCAGAATAATCCAAATGGGTGCAAGGCAAGTTCTCAGTAAAATATTTTCGACGTTTAGCAGCTATAGGTGCTCAATGGAAACCGCCCGCCAATTAAGTAGTCAACTTTATGGAATATTTTTCCAAACTGCGGCACCAAAATGTTTTTTAAAGAAAAGCCGGCATCCTACTGTGACGGAAATATCTGAGGATTACACTTCGCAATAATCAATATCATAACCCCGCCTAGGTAATCTCATCTTATCTCAAAACGCATTTCAGAAATTTACTTCACCTTGATTGAGGTAGACCAGCTTGGGGATACACCTTTTTAGATCCTAGAGCTTGTCTCGCCTTTCATCTAGTAATTAGTAAGGCTGTATATTGTACAAAGAGGCAGGCGTAGTCTTAATGCATACGCTTTAATCTGGGCGGTTGCCGTTAGCAGGTGAACGTGAATAAATGGATTTACGAACTGCACGAAAAAGGATAAAGCGGTTCTACTGCCAGAAAAGGCTGTGTGTGGGAAAGTTAGACTAATTTCAAGCACTAGGTGGTAAAACGTCATTCTTTTGTTTGAGCATAGAAGCAAGAAAAAAACATAAGTATAGTAAAACAAGCGGACGTACTGGGATTATGACGCTCCAGGACATCCTCGGAATCGATTTGCAGCTTGGCTGTTGACATTGTTCGCACAACTCGGATGACATGAAAATTACCGTCCGCGAGGTCAATGCTACTGTCCTGGAGAACTTGAATGCCACTTCCCATATTGTATGTCAGCCGCAGTACAGAGCGCTTCTGAAAATTGAGAGGGTTTTATTGTTATTTGGTTTGTTAGCTACGAACATCTGTGCAGTTTACTGCCCTCTCCTTATTCCAGCTAATACTTAAACGTTAGCTTGCTGTCGAGTCATAAGTGATTCTAATCAGAAATTCACATCCCCCCGGTTTTTGCGAGTTTACGTCCAAGCACAACTTCCCTCAGGTAGCATATGGGGACGTCAAAGCTATGATATCTACTCCCCCCATTGTCTAGGAGTCAAGGTGGACAGGAAATGTCAGCATACCGAAAACTGCTCGAGTGTCTTATCTCAAGAATCACAGAGGATACTGTCTGAGGCAATTCCTGGAATAATATATGACTGCCAGCTCGGTTATTTAAAAAAAAGATAGAGGCAATAAATAAAGCGTATGCTGCCTAAGAAAGAGATAAACCGCCTCTAAACCCGGGCAGCTCTGCATGTAACGATATATAGCCTTTAATTCTTATGTGCTATAAATATCATTTTCATTAGAGACATACGTCAAAGGCTCCTCGAATTATAGCATTAATGTATGATTATTTTGAACAACCAGTCATTGTTAATTAATCATCAAGCCTTTGTCATTCTTCCGTGGAAGAGAAAAAAAATGAATGATATGTAGCTTTTCTCAATTCTATGGTAACCTCTTTTATTTATTGCCTAAACTTGAAAAGTAAACTAGCTTAGTTTTACGAGCAAAACTCTCAATAATTTTCTGTTACCTCATGGATGGGAAACATAGGGGGAATTTTAATGAGAAGCTTAAAGTTTAAAGTTTTATATTGCCTTCTTTCACTGACACCAGCCAGTACACTATATGGCTACTTAAAACGCCTGCTGGCGCTTGGCTATATCGAATGATTTATTTAAACGAGAGCATTTTGGCCTCTATCATGGTAAGCTAAATTAAGGGTAAAATTCAATCAGGTGATAAGAGCAAACCTATTACCATAATTTTTGTTACATTTATGCAAACGTGATCACACAAAAGCCTTTTTTAATGTTTAACGTAAACATTCAGGGACAGCCTAAAAGGCATGTCCGTAGTTTCAAGTCACGGAGTGAAGCCACACACTGCCGAATTTTGTTTATTGCGGCTCTAACTGAGTAACTGAGACTCCATATACGGGCAAATATTGTAGCCTGAACTGGAGTCATACGAAAAAATCATCTACCATGGTTTATATAATATGTGCCCTTGACTCTAGAAACCAGAGGACATAAGGACCGATGTTTTTCGTCGAATTTAACAACGTTTCGATTTTAAGTAAGACATATAAAGAAACTTGCTCGGAAAGCAGCCAATTCTATCCGCAAAAAATCCAGTGAATTGCTGTGGCTGGTAATGTGAAGTAATACAACCGGTTCGCGATGTTTTGTCTGGATTCCGAAAGCAATTGCATCTTTTGTTGTGTTGCGCAAAGGATTAAATTCGAGGACCGCGCAACCACGCTCGGATTCAGAAAATGCGACTGTTGTGGCAACTAAAGGAAAGAAACAGATAAGTAAGCTGCCGGCTTTGTTCAAATATGCCAAACCATTAGGCAGTAGTATAGTGAAGTACACATAAATTTTGCAATCCGATGAATGATATCATTTTCTTATAATGATGGCATCTTTATAGTTTTCCCTTTGGTTATATTGATGATCAGTGTCTGTATCTAGTACAAATTCCACTTAAGGTAAAACCAAAGTGTATTTTCACTTATCCGAAGACCATTCAACCTGTCGGCTATCCATCTTCGTTGTTGGGCTTCCACATGTGGTTAGTGACCATGAACGTGAGCCTTTTGACAATATACAGATAACACGTACTATATTGGCTTATCTAAGTCCAAAAACACTTTCCAATTGTAAGTTAACTGGTTACTCTATGTAGAAACCTTCTACAAGATTATAGGTTATTCACATCGTAAGGAGGTACGGCTATACCTTTACCAAATTGAAAATACAAAAGTTGGTTTTTATCATTATTGTAAGGTTTTACTTTATTGCTATCTTTCTCGCAAACATTACGAACAGGGTTAACAGTGATCCTCGAGCGTCTTTGGCCTTTTTTTGTTCACAGCTTGCGTTTTGGTCTGTGGGTTGATTAAAGAAAAACGACAGTTATATTCCAGAATCAATCCGAATGCAAATGTTGACAGCTGAATACGTTTTTGCTTTTAAACGACACGGCAACTATAGGTTATGCGACCTTCCTTAGCCACCACTAAACCCCGTATCCTGTTAAACGGTAATGTAGAAATGCAGATTTTGAGATTGGGGCAAAATGCGTGGAACAAACTTCAAAAATCAAGTTTATTCCTGCCCAACGTCTGCTGTGAGGCCTATATTTAACAATGAACGTGGGGGTGATTTTCAAACAAAAACAATACGCTACTCAACAAATGAATGTAATTTGAATACAAGAACTATAAGACAACTTTATGCGTCCCGTTATATGAAATTGATAGATAACACTCGGGGGTTCCCTCCCATGGTTATGAAACTGTAAAACGAGCCAGGTCAGGCTTTATAGTTTTTACCCAGAGAACTCACAAGCCAGCAAGGAATATAAAGGAATAAGGGAATTAACCGGCGTACTATAGTCGCATGAAGACTGTAGAGGCGGATGCAGGATGTAACCGTTAAAGTTGAAGAATGAAAGTTGCAAATAAATTTTATAGGAGCATTCAAGGGAATACGAAATAACGATTTAAACATTACTGGAAACAAAATTTGACAAAGGCCGATAAAAAAGAACTGTATGCAGTCGCCGGTTTGACATCGCATTCTGTACTCTCATCAAACACAGCAAATGCACTACCCCTTTTTTCAAATATCTATAGGACATTGTTGATTTGCAGTCACAAACATAGGAAAATTTGTATCTCCAGCACTGCTCATCAGCTATGAGAGATTGGTTGTCCCCATCAGCGCCCGACATGTGATTAACTAGAAGCAGCGCTACAATCAGTGCCCATCCTCTGCCTACCGCTTAGTTAATTAATATAACCAGGCAAAACCTCCGCAATCAGAACAGAGCGTGCTTGCAGCTTGCGCAATTATTAATCCCCGCGAATATTTCGGGCGTCTCCCGTGGAAAAGTGACGTTCTGGGAAGTGACGGCATTCGTCCCAACATTTTCGGAAGCTCTTGCTCGAAATAATTCCTTCGTCTGTTTATAAGCGGGCTTCGCTTGCGACTGGATTGTGAATGACAAATTTCACACTGCCACAGTGAATAATTTACTCTATTGGCTCTAGTACTTTGCTTCTGTTCCGTGTCGGGGGAAGATGAAAGAAAATTTACGGCAAACTTATTGTCATGAGTGAGGCTTCCTGAAAACTAAAGGCCAAATCCGGCATTATAATCGGGCAAACTTTTTAAGTCCAGCAACTGTACTTTATCTGTTTCCGATCGTGGACTCGATCGTAGATCCAAAAGGCAAACATGATCCACATTCTTATTTGAACATCAGGGTATGCCTCAATCAACTGGTTTCGCGATACTACGTTTAGTGCCTTATAGTTAATGAACCGGATGCTTTTGTTCCAAGTAAGAGAGAACAAGTTTTCATGTCTCATTACTTACACAATATTCATGTTCGAATTATTTTAGTAGGACACTCCATTATCCTTTGATAGAAAAGATTCTTTGGGAAACAGAAACAAACTTTACTGTAAATTTTCGACGCTGGCACACCAGGCCGTCTTCGGACACGAGGGAAATGTGTGGAGAGCAGTCCGCATTTTTAAACGTGTCAAAAATCGATAAAGCTGCGTCATCATAAAAAAGCCTGGAAAAAGGGCCAACCACGAACAAACATGCTATTGACCATGGATGACGCAGCATTATCGATTTTTTGACGCGTTTAAAAATGCTGACCGCTCTCCACACATTTCCCTCGCGTCCGGAGACGACCTGGTATGCCAGCGTCAAAAATTTATAAAAACGTTTGTTACTGTTTCCCAAAGAATCGTTTCTATCAAATTATATTTCTTGGGATGCCTATTTTCAAACTCCATGATCCCTCATCATCATCATCATCTTTTCCCTAATATGCTCATTTAAACAAGCACCCTAAAATAGAGGATTTATTCATAGCCTGTACATTTCGCCAGAGGAAAAAGGTTGCATTCACTTAACGAACTATAAGTTGTGGATAATCAAGTTAACTGACATTTTGTGCTTAACATACCATCAGTACAAACAGGTCCAGTGAATCCTGACATACTGCAGTCGCAGAAGTACGTCTTCAGTTGCTGTACACAGCGTCCTCCGAAACCACACGCACCTGGACGACAGGTAGCATCAGTGTCCTCCTCCCACACATCACCCCTTAGGTGACAGCCCGCTTCAACATTCAGAAGGGTCTTGACAAACCGCAGAGGGTTTACGGGGTCATAGACGTAATCCAGTTCATGCTCGGGTGATGTTTGTGATACTGAAACCGTGGCCAGACAGCCATCATAGCCTGGCTGATTTTCCAGTTGGTGGTGAGGCTGGTAATCAGGGTTGCTGCAATTTCAGGGAAATTGGTGAAAAGAGAGAGGGTGGGGGGAGCATGAGCGGAGCAGAAGAAATTGACAAAATTATGCTTTCAGCAAATATTACCATTAAATCTTGCTTAAAAGCGTAGAAGCGGTGGTTGATCTTTTTTGGGAGGCATGCTTTGTTTGTCTACACTTGAATTCACTGGGCCTATTTCCAATGTTGAACATTCACGTGATTTTCATGCAAATATATCCATACGTCTGCTGCTATAATAACAGCAGCCGCCAAGAATTTTGGAAGAAAATCACCGTTTTAGAAAGAGTGGAAAGGCAAAAAATACTATTTCCTGTCTGGCACTTGAGTAAAGAGAGAATGGAATCTCAGTTGCACAAACGGTGGAATTCACGGTAAGACAGTGACATAATTATTTCTATTTTTCAGGTATTTAAATAAATTTGCAAAACCTCACTAATATACAGTAGTCGCCACAGGCCATGCAATTTTCATAATTTGTATAAGATTGATCATTACTCGAATACCAATGTGAATGCATTTAGGA